GGGGGGGGGTGGTACATTAACTTCGAACACTACAGATCCACTACCTCCCCTTTCTCGACTCGCGGGGTCGGTACAATTTACCATGATAAAATATTAACAGGGGGTAAAACTGCGGACCTCCCTTGGGTTCCGACACTCCTCTAACTCCCTGAAAATTCCAGAGTAGACAGCATCCCTTGGTCGCAGCAGGGGATGATGCGTTAAAAGATTCACGAGCTGGAGCCACCGCGGCCCTTTTTATCTCATCAAATAGTAACGTGACACATTGGGCGTTAGGCGGAATCGCCATGCAGCTCCATGCATGAGAGACTATCACGCCGTACTATCACTGTCCTACGGTTTCCTCTCGATCGGATCCTCCAGAGGGTTTGCCAGTGGGGCGGTGGATACCTTACTACCTACTGCCAATGGTGTAGGGGGTCGGAAAGCTTCGCGTCCAACCAGTGGACGACGTTGCTGAGGGACGCTGGAAGTAGAGCTCACCTAGAGCTTACTCGGCCGTAGGACTTTTCGGTAATTTTTCCAACGGAGGAGTGCCTTTCGATGTCAATGTCGTAAGTCAAAATTTTGTTCTCTCTACCGTGGACCCCCTGTCACTTACTGCGCCTGTAGCGTCCGGAGGCTAAATTCAATCTGCATTCAATATTGATTCCATATCCGATATGGAGCTTTCAATTTTTGTGATTTACTCACCTTGCGCATACCGGCCATGCCTTCCTCTCTTTTTCCCATATTTCTTTCTCTTTTTTTATTCTTCTCTTTTTACACCTTTTCTACTCAGTCAGATCACGCGTACCCCCTGTATTCAATTTATTCTTATGGTACATCGTGTATCTTTCGGTGTCACGATCTTCGATCAATGTCTGACCACTGGTGTCATTCTGGACTGGCATACTGTTATTTACTGGTCAGTCATGGTTGTTTGTGCAAATCTTGATTTTATGGATATTAATGGAATCGGAGCAAGTTGGGTTTTTAGTTACGAGGGGATGATATTTGGGTATTATGAAGAGATTGATGTGGTATGATAAATGAAAGGGATGATCTTTGATTTAAATGATGACAGTTTAATTATAGAGGGGCTGAAAGTCTTTAGTGATGGGTGTGTATGGTTATTTAAACGGTTTCTTCATAAATTTTCAGGAAAAAGATATCTTGAAATTTTTGTCCCACGAAACAAGATCCGGACCATTTACGTAGTCGTAGTAAAACCCAACGCGGAGGCATTGGGCAAGAATTTGTTCGTAGGTTTATTAACCAGGCAAAGAGTTCTGGTGACTGTGTGAAGGAAGATTGGAAAAAGAAAAAGAAAGAAGGAACAGACAAAGAAAACAAAAAGAATACCAGTGAAGGAAGGACCAAGGCAGGTACCTGTCTAAAGGGGTGGATTCCATAAGGAATAATGTGACGATGAACACAAAATGCAAGAATAATTAAAAAGTTAAGCCATTAGGTAGCAGAAGATGGAAAAGTCCGTTGATACACATCGGACAAGCTGAAGAATCTAGATAGAGAATTTCGAGTCGAGATTCCATTCAAGATAAACTTGAAACAAAGCCAAGATTTAGAAAAATAAAAACCCAAACATAAATTTATTCAAAGACAGCCGCCGTCTTTACAACCGAAGTCAGTCTCTATTACACAGCTGCTGTGGCTAATTTGTTTAGGTCCATGAATCTGAAAGTCCCACGAATTAGCCCAGTTGACTTTTAAGAGCTGCGCCATGCTACAGACCCTTTACCACTCCTGCATGAATATATGTACAAGACGTAAGGTGGCGCCGTCATGCGATTCCGCTCAGAAGCTTTTGGGGCTCATCAAACTGAAATTTCGCGAAAAGCTTATCCGAAATTCATCGTCGTTGTAAACTCCCCGTAACAACTTGTACCGTGGAAGCCCGGGTAAGCGAAGATGGTAGCGTTACTACCAACAGTGGTACCAGTCAGAAAGGGGTGGTCGGGTGGTTCAGGTGGTTGAAGAGTTTTGGCGGGGATACGAGAGTCTCAAATATATAGGGTGGGTCTCTACAAGATGTATATTTAATACCATCATTTTAGAAAGCAACAGGGTTGCTCCCGTGGCTATTTATATATTTTACGGGTTGGCAGGATTGTTTACTGCCCATAGTAACACTTTGACCATGCGTAACTCCTACGATTTCCATCTTCTTCTTTTTTTTTCTATCCGCATCCGCCACTTCCTGTTCCCTCCAACCGTTCTCCGTCCTTCTTCCTCCAACGGCATATCTCATCCTTGGCTTTATAGCCGTGTAAATCCTCCGAGTTCCTTTAATACTTTAACGTTGGCAAGTATAAACATAAAATCGCCTACGGCAAGGCGGCACGTTTCGTTTTGCCTGGCTGCAGTGCTGCCAACCTCCACGTAAATGGACACCGACGTAGTTCAGGTAGTAAGTATCTTTCCGGCGTCTCGTCCTGCTTTTATTGCATCCTTCCTGAGCATGATCAATTTTTTTTTTTTCCATTCGCGGTTGGTACTCCTGCACGTTTCCTTCGGAATCTTTGCTTCGTACCAAGTACTCTAGGGATATTTGTATTCATTCGTTATTTCCATCCGTATAATGATCCATACGATACGAGCTTTTATTATAATAACGGTCTTGGCTCTGACCAAACCCCCTATAAAATTTCAGTACCACGCCGGAAGGCATATCTGCTGTCTAAGGGTAGGATATCTTTTCATCCCTTATTCTATTGTTCTTGTTCGTTAACGTAAAGAATGCAGTTAGCATATACGACAGTGTTATTCGAAAATATTCCCTGACTCACGAAAAGTAACCAGGAAGCAGATGAGCGTTATCGTATGATAAGGGATGCAAGGGGTCCATCGATGTGTTCGGAAATATCATATTTTTATTCAGTGAAGGGATGCAATACGGGTACACGTATTAAAGTGAAGTGGATCGGTATGAGTAATAATAGTAATGCCTTTGAGCCGGGTATGTCATCGCCATGCATATATGCAAAATGCAAAATTGGATCTCACCAACGTTCTTTCTTATGTTTTCCCCCCTGAATGTATTTTCGTATTCATTTTACAGTTATGGCATTCACTTCGCATCGAACATCTAGCCACCCCCCCCCCGCCCCTCTGAATGTATTTTCGTATTCATTTTACAGTTATGGCATTCACTTCGCATCGAACATCTAGCCCCCCCCCCCCGCCCCTGTGTCCTGCAGATCCACCCTCCGACACTCTCCTCGTCGCTCTGGGAAACACAGCGGTGTTAACGTTTTACGGTTCAACCCTCCGACTAAAATCGAAACCCTATTCCCCCTTCGGCGTTAATTCTCCATGGAATCGATCCCTCCGGTGGTGGCTGTGGCGGCGGGACGGTTCGTGGTGTGCTTGCAATATAGGATTTTACTGCAACTGCAACAAGCTCTGTCGTTCCGCGTCTGTGCGTCCCCGCGAAAAGAGGGGTCGATGAAAAATTCACGATTTCGGGAATTATTAACGAGATCATGCCGCCTCCCTGAGGGGTGGCTCTCTTCCTTTATATTTCACTTTTTTTTTATTATCCGTCTGTAATTTTCAGGTCGGTTTGTTTTATTTTTTTTGTCAAGGGAGAGTGCAGTGTTGCCACCGATATAGAAAGGAATAACGATTTTTTTTTGCGTGACAATTTTGAAAAATTTTGGGAAAAATTGTTACATCCAGCTTTTCATATTCAATCGATGAATGGTGGTAAAGGATAAAGAGAATTTTTTATTACAAGGCATACTGCCTTTCGCTTTGAATTTCTGGAGCCGAGGGTGCATGAGAAAAATTGCGTAGAATTTATTGGCGGCTCTCTTTCATGGTGGTTTCAGGTTCCAGCTGTCTATGCGGGGTGATTTCACGGCCCTTGGGGTAGTTTTTTTTTTGTGAATTTACTTTCAGAACGTTTCACTGACATGCACCTTGCATATTGTAACGTCGTACAATTGCTGGCCAGTAATTGCTTTTTCGGATATCCCTACTTTACCGGTCTTTGTGGAACTGCCTTGACGCTATTCTTTGCACTCGTCTCAAGTATAGTATTGTAGGAAAAAGATTCGTTTTATTTACCCTCCCATTAAATGTACCGTAGGATTAAAAAATCTGTAGGTTACAAAGCCTCGACTTTTTATAGCCTTAAAAATTAGAAGAAAAAAAAATTTTACGTCGCACCGACCGTAAAAAAGTAATTGGTTACAGTACCACTATTTTATTTAGACCTGTAGACCCCACTACTCGTTAATGCCAAAGAAAAGAGGGGGAAAAAAAACGTGTAAACGAAGAAAACCAGAAGCATACAAGGTTTGTAAATTACGAAATTTATTCGGTTCGCATTCGAATCACTTTCGATTTAGAGAATCTCATTGACTAAATCCCAACTGCGAGAAAAAATTATGTAAAAAAGGGTCAGATGCAGAAAACGTAAAAGTAGGAGGAACGAAGTTTGGTTTCGGACAAAAAAATCCATGGTTCCTCGGTCTCTCCGGCGAAGGTGGTAGGTGAAAGCAGAGAAACTGCGACCTTCTACCAACCCCCGGCGTCCGCCTACTCGGCGAGAGGGTTAAAAAGCAATTTTCCGTCTCTCCCAATCTCCCGATTGGTACTGGGAGAGCAAAGCAATTCCAATTCAATCTCTACGATTGAACATCGCATTGGGAAACGAGCCACGTTTGTCTGTTACGTGGGCGCACAAAGCGTCCACGATGATCGGCCCGCGGGACGTGCGTTTGCGCGTGCGAAAAATCTAACGAGCTGCGCGTTGCTCGTAGAAAAATTTCAGACTCGTAGACTCTCGTACCCTCCCTTTATAATTCTAGGGGTGGCGACATCAAAATCTGGGGGTTCACTCAGGCTTATTCAACAATGGATCGCTTAACGGGAGAGACGTGTCAGCTGTTGCCATTCTGACAGAGAATTTTTATGATTGACAGTTTTATGGGGGGTTGCATTTGGGGGGGGTGGAATTATCCATCCAGTACCTTTTTAAAAAATCAGAGGGTTAATTGTCCAAAGATCCTACACCTGTTAACTGGAGCATTAAGTTTACTTGTGTTATAAATCTGTTTTCGAAAAGATTTTTGAATTTAAATTATTCAAAAATAATACTCACCTCGCAATTTGAATGACTGATGTTGCTCAGATTCAGCCTGAAGACTTTGTCCCTGGAAAAAAAATAATGGTCTTATTTATCATTTTTGTATTTATTTTTGGAAGTTTGTTGTATACATATTTTTGCTTGAAATTTTTAAATATAATCGCTTCGCGATACTGACTCGAATTTCTATCTGGTAAGCTACTGGATTTCCGCGGCCTTCATTTCCGTGTCGTTGAAACTTTCATCGTTTCGCGATTCGTGCTTATATTTTTATTGGAGCTTCCGACTTTGGACTTTTCTGCGAGTTTGATTTGTGCCCGGGAATCATCGGAATCGAGAGGGTGTACAAGTTGATTTTATTTATTTGTCAGTCTATAACGTGAAGTATTTTCGAAGGAGTGAAAAATAATTTTGAAATATATAAAAATATTCGATACGTACGGTATATCGGGAAATCGATATTACATGGATATATGAAAATTCAGATACTAAGCACATGTGTTACCAACGTACGTTTCTTAGAGTTTTCTATCGAAATTACATTTTCTTATTGAAATTCTATCGATTCTTATAATAAGTATCGTTAGACTTGTACCGAGCCCGAGGAAGGGTAAATAAGAAAAAAAGTACTCTATGCTTATCCAATCTCGATCGTCAGTCAAAAATTGAGACAAACTGATTGTAAATCGAATCCAGTCAGTTTTCAAATATTTCGCAACATTAGCACCGACGCGCCGCATAACTTTATTCCAATAGCCATTCATCATGATCTTTTCAATAGAAGTGCAGTCGGATGGAATGCGCCGCGAAGAAGGAAAGGTTCCATTCACCTCGGGCATAGTACCGTGAAAAAGTAAACACCGCGCAGAAAAACAATTCCGACTTCTCGAGAACCAGTCGCGAACTTTAGTCTGGTAGACCCACCCTTACGCGCTAGCCCGACTATAGAGAACGTACCCCTCACCCACAAACTTTTTTTCCTTCAACCCCCAACGGGCGAAAGTTACCGCGAAGCTTCCTTGGAAAAACATAAAACCAATTTCAGGAAGATAGAAGAAAAAAGGGTATCGGAAAAATTCATTGGTATCTACCAGATCTCAATACGAATCCTTATCGATAACTGAAAAGTGTAAGAATTTGAAATATCATGAAATCGAAAATTCAAAAAAATTCGTAAGACGAGACCAGAGATCGAGATGTCGAAAAAAATTTTTTATCGCATTCGTATATCTCGTGTATACAAAATTTTGTATTTGTGCGAAAATATTACGACTGACACTATTAAGATAAAATCTTGAAAGATGCCTCGGTATATTCCAGCTTCCAGTTGCATCTGACAGACAATCCTTTTCCACATGATGTATTACTCTCGCGTGCATTCACCATCCACCACGTTTCTATAAGGTAGAGTGAGAATCAAGTCTCTGAAACCTGGAATATGACAATGGCTTGAAGTTGGCGGCAGTGCTGGGAAACTCTTGTACAGGCACTGAAATATATCTACATACCAGTAGCCCAAACTGCTCTCGAGCAGAGGGCGAAAACCTTTGGAATTGCAATTCACAGCTGGGAATAGCGAATATCCAAAGTAGGTAGCACATTAGATAGGAAGGGGTTGCCAAGAAATAGTTGCAAGAAGAATCGAAAGATCAAGAGCAAAGAACCGTTTTGACGAAAAATCCAAATTGACATGGAGCTGAGATAAAGAGAATTCTTTGCGAGGGTGCTGCCATCTGAATGAATGGGATGTAGACGGACGTGATTAAAATTTTAAAATTTTGAAAAAAAAATATAGAGCAGGGGTAGGTGAAGACTGGTTCACTGAATAACCTTGAAATTGAAATTGGTCCAATTTGAGTGATTCGGTTCGATGGTACTGGATTACATCTTACAGTAAGGATAAGATCAGCGGTATGAACTGCAATGGCATTATGACGTCACGTGTGTCTGGTACGTGGAACAATGAAAATTACTCAATTACCGTGAAATATAATTGCCTTTCTGATCCTCGAGCAGCAATTAGCGAATACGGTTCGTTTCTAATTAACGAGCAAACTGTCAGTACTAAATGTCGACGATTTAAATTGGATATTAAGACAGACCAATGAAAGGAGGTAACGAACAATTATACGGTATAGTTTCAAAATTTGAGTTTATTGGAACAGACTATACTATTTCAACAGTGTACTGTACATTAGTAACGTACCTAATTATGTCATTTAGTTTTTCTTATTTTTTTTTCTGTCTCACGATCTCATTGAATCGTCAATTACATCCTATTTAGGATAACTCTTAATTTGACAGTCTTACCAGAAGTCTTATTGCTTTTAGTTTCTTTAGCACTTTATAAAAAAAGTTACTCCTCGATACCTTAAGAAATTTCAAAAAAAAAAACGCAAAATATAAAAAATTCATCCCCGATTTCTTAATTTGGAATCTTTTTTAAAATTGCGAAATTCGGTCGAAATTTTTACCGTGAAAAAGAAAATGTAAAAGAAACGAAGCAGTCTTGCGAACAAATATTAAACGACGACAAGCGTTCTTAACGGCCCTGATATAAATCGTTAAAGCGTGGCGGGCGTAGGGCTTCGACGATTTCGCCCTTTCCGCTTGAGCGACTCCTGATAACGTTGTCTCGAGGGTCGGTAATGCGTATCGAGTGAAATTTTTATCTTTCGCGCCGGAAAGAGGAGTCCCTTTTCAACGAGAAATGTAATCTAGCGCTGATTCATCCAAGAGCCCGGTTCCGTGTCCCAGAGTATTTTCTGCCTGAAGATGTCCTGCTTTCTTTCTCAACTTGGTAGGCTATTCAGAAAGCGCCACCTTTTTTCGTCTTACCTACCCACCCTTATTTTACTCTGTCATACCCACCCCGCCACCCACCCATCCACCCATGTATATACTCTCTTTCACTATTACCCAGGCTGTAGCATTTTGTTGGCATTTACCAAATTAAGGAGAGAGAGTCGCACAAAGGCGGCCACGGGGAGTTAGACAGGACGATGGGTACTAGTCTCGGATAGGGGTAGTTCGAGACGGAAGGGAGGGAAATTGAATTAAGAAATAATACTTTGCCAGTAATGATGCCACGTCGTGGTACGTCCCTTGTACCATACAATGCCGTGGAAGCAACGTATCCTACCCTCTTGAGAAAGCCATTTCGTAACGCGAGCAGGGAAGTATAAAATACAAACCCACCCCTAACCCTCATTTGCGGATGAAGGTTCAGGTTGGATATAAAAAAGTGTAGCATAATGGGACGTCAATCATTTGTTACACAAAGATCGTTTGTGACATTTTATACGCTTTTTTTTTTACAATCACCCCCAAACCACCATAATTTGACTGATTTCATCGATGGCGCGATCGGTGATTTATTACGAAATTTTTTACTACTCTTTTTAATAAGGGAGACAATTTTTGTTTTCGACAGTTCCCTTTAAAGACACTTCGCCAGACTTTAGAATTCATTGTACGAGCTCGATATTTTAATTAGCAAGGGTTGGTACCACTGTATGCTTAGTGGGTCAGCTTGAAATTTGAGGTTGCTCGGACGGTTTGCGGTAATTGTCTTGTAAGTCTCGTGGGGTTGAAACAATAAAAGTTTTATTACTTCGCTATAAATTCGAACGTTTAGCAAACATTCGTCGTTCTTATTTCGTTTCGAGTCTTTACTACTGTTCGTTCTTATATATTTTAGTACTTGAGTCGAGGGCGCTCGTAAGTATACTGCCGAGTGGTTACCTCCTCGAAAGAAAAACTATTTTCTAAAAGAAGACATTAAAAGGACAGTTGTTCGCGACGTTCTTTGCTGTAAGTCTTAATGATTTCGGCGAACATGCTGATGAAGTCTCGACGCTACTCACTAAAGGAGGCAGGTTTTTCTATGAGAATGCACTGAAGTGACTTCAGCGTAAAAATTAACTGTATCGGATATTGGTACAAGATGGTGAAAAAAACAAGGGTATGTATCGTCGTTTGTTGATTTGGAGCACGACTGGTCCTTCTGTCTCAAACCAGAAGGGAAGAGGGTCTGGTTATGGCTGGGAAACAAAGCAGAGGACTGGAGACACGTAAATTAGCGGGTGCTAGTTGTGGAATGCAGGCAAGTGTATATAGCGCACATGGCATGGGTCTTGAGAAAGTGGTACACCTGCGAATCATCAAAGTGCTGGGATTCAGGAATTGACTGTCCAGGTATTTATGGATCGATTGACACTGGTACCGGAGACAGTGGATGAAAGGAGTATCCACGGAAGAGCTTGCGACCAGTCTGATGGAGGGTTGAAAAAATATTGTAGAAATCCAAAAATTTTCTTGAAAAAACATACAAGTTTAAAAAAAATATTTTTCCAAATTTTACTCACATCGCTCCAACGTACAGAACATCCCTTTTACTGTCCAGGTACAGTGTCCTGTAGTACAGCATCCCGCAGCTGAATTCTCGTACGTGCTCTGTGAATAAATAAGAGAAATGAGATTAAAGACAAGTTTACAGTCAGGCATTATGATTGAACGCTCGGCGTCGCATTTACAGACAAAAATACAGTCGGAGCGTGAAATGTAAATATAAATGTGAAAAAAAAGTGGAAAAAAGTTAAATGCACGAGAACCGGGGATAAAAATTGAGTTAGAGGGGGTTGGTAATACAGGGGTGGAGTATTTTACAGGAGGAAGTGAGTATTTCCATCTCTCTTTCTCTTTGACTTCCTTACGTATTTCATCCCCCTTTTAGTCACTTCCTTTCCACCCTCTGCCACCACCACCCCTCCCTCTCCCTCTCGCGGAACGTTAAATCTGCCCCGGTGTATTCGCAAGGGTGGACTGCAAGGCCCGCAGGGCCAAGAGGGTAGGTTACAGGCACCTACACGAGAAAAACCTCCTTCCACCCTTAAGCTCGACACTGATCTGCTTAACATATGAAAGAAAGCCACCCCTTCTAAATATACTCGTTCCACTCTAGACTAACAGAGCGCGAACAATGCTATATTTTATATGGTATCAGGAGGGGGATGACGGCGAATGAAAGGGGTTCGCATTTTCAAATCCACCCTTCGCTTCATCCCTTTTACTTCGTCTTTAGCTTCCCTTCTGCTCCCTTTTATTTGTTGACCCTCTCTCTCTCTCTCTCTCTCTCTCGCTCACTCGCCAATCCTTACTTCTTCGCTTCGCGTTTCTTAGTCTCTACGACGAAATCACTTTAATACCCAACTTACTCGAAATGACGACCTTTGCCCTCTCGCTGAGAAATCATACGTCCCTTCCACCCTCGAGGTTCACCAAGTGGTTTTTCTTATACGGAGAATTCAGGAGAGCCAACGGAACGGCATAAAATTTCGAGGAGGATATTGACTTTTTTTTCCAGGAAACCAATTCCTCTTTCTTTCATCCCCCTCTTGGCAGTAGCTTTTCAAAATTATTGAAATCCTCAAGATCCTCGAAAATGAACACCCCGGTCAGACATCAAAGGCGAATAAGGAGAAGCCAACCTAACCTATCTGTTCGTAGCTTGTGCAAATATACAGTACCCACCGTTACAGACGAACTGTGTAACATTCAAGAAGACTTTAATTTTTTAAGTATATAATTTTATTGTTTCAGTGACATTATTTGATCCCTGATAATGTCCTGATAATTTTCCAAAAAAATATAATTATGGCATTCTGAATGCTTTATTATTAGTTTCCAACTGTCTGTTCGATGTTAAGACCACAAATATAAATTCACCCTTAAGTCTCTCTCTCTCTCTCTCTCTCTCTCTCTCTCTCTCTCTCTCTCTCTCTCTCTCTCTCTTGTGTCTTAAAATATAATTATGGCATTCTGAATGCTTTATTATTAGTTTCCAACTGTCTGTTCGATGTTAAGACCACAAATATAAATTCACCCTTAAGTCTCTCTCTCTCTCTCTCTCTCTCTCTCTCTCTCTCTCTCTCTCTCTCTCTCTCTCTCTAGTGTTTTTCTTCTGCCTTCGTGTTTTTCAGGTCACTCTATATCTGTTGAGTCATCGTACGAGCCAGCACGCTATCATAGGCAGTTGTTCAAGCACTTTCCACCCTCTCTTTCATCATCCCCAAAACCCTGCTGAAGTCTAGTCTAGTCTAGCCGAGTGTTATCACCGAGACTGGGACGCTTTTATCGACTCAACGAATTTCACTTCATTTCCGCTCGTGGGACCTTCGGTCTGCGACCGTCAGAACTTTCAGGACGCCACCAGATACCCGGTACAGATATAACCTTAACCGTAAGAGATTTATACAGTATGTGACCATAGGTACCAATATAGGATAAGTCACCAAATTTTGGTCAGTGGTAAAAAACTCGGTGACTACTTTACGTACCCTTTAACCTATCAAACACATTGCGTATGAAATATACCAGAACAACGTTCAGTACAATAAGATAATACTGTAACTATCCTTCGACCGTCATCAAATTTTGGTTAGTGGTAAAAAATTTTTTGACTACTTTACGTCCCCACTAGGCAAACAAATGCATTGCGTATGAAATATACCAGAACAACGTTGAGTATGATAAGATAACGCAGTAACTACCCTTCGACCGGAAGTCATCCATTTAAATTGGGGTAGTCGCCCATTAAGAGACTGAGCTAATGCTAATGCACCCTAATGACTGTTAACTTAATTTCATTAAATAAAATCTTTTTGAAATTTTTATTTTACATTAGTAAAAATGAAAAATTCCTTAATTTACTCTTTAAAATTTTTTTTTTAACCATAACTACCCTTTAGATTTTTTTTTCTTTCCTCTTTTACCCAGTAACTCGTGTTCTTGCAATTATACGTAATTGAATAAATATGCCACAATTAGAGACAAGTGTTCGGATTTGTCACGAGGAAACGGTCGAGTGCAATAGTACTCAGCAATAAGTACGCGTGTGCATTGAGTGCGGGAAAACGTACGTACACGGTGATTGAGAAATAAGTAACATATATATTTATACACAGTGATTATTTTCTATCGTCGAGAAGTTCTGAGATTATGTGCTCCAATTATTTCGCGTTTTAATTACCCGGCAACACACGTAACGTTAGTCAACTACAAACCACCACTGAGGTAGTCAGCTACTGCGCGGATACGACGTTGCTTTTTTTTTTTTTTTATTAAGTACCGCCGACACGAATTTTTCTAACGACCCGTTGAATATTTATTTCCTTACTCCTCCTCTGTGCATTGACCTTCATTCCTACAAATTGCGATGCCCCATTTCGCCATTTACTTCTTAGACTTGGCGTTCGGTCACGTCACTCGGCACTTTACATATATGTTCTCCGAATTTATCTTTTTTTTTTTCTACTTTTTCTCTTATCCGATATGACAAAATTTCAGGGGAAATTTTGTTATGTTCGTCAGAAAAATCAAATTTTTTTTCGATACCGTCACATTTTTTTTTTACAATGTTCAAGTACTGCAGTCAGCCATTATTAAGGGATGATAACAGTTTGATTGATTGAATCCATATACATTTCGTATCCAGTTACATTGTATACGTGGCTGAAATTCTCGAAAAATATAGAGGGTGGAAATAATGACAGTTATTGATGTCATGAGTCACAGAGCTGAATTATTATTATTATTATTTAATAATATATATAATATGATCATCGGTATGGAACAATATTAATTCGACAACTATCGTTAATGTTGTTAATATTTTTAAAAAAACTTCAAGTATAAAGATTCGATGAGGTAAATGATAAAATCAGCAATTCATGAATTTTAATATCTGAAATCATTTGCTACGGTGTCATAGGTCACTAGATGTAAGGCGATTGGTAAAGCACGTGACCTTTGACCTATATCATAATCTATAATACGAATTATTACGACACAATGGAAATAATTGTTCCCGCCGGTAAAATCTGTTTACATTGAACGTCTAAGCGTTTAGTGCATCTGATTTGGTATTTGCGTCATTTGAATTGTAACGTTATAAAAATGTTAATCTTACGATAGACGATAACGAAAGGTTCTTCGCAAAGTGAACTAAAAGGATCAAGAAGTACCTTTAAAAGGAATTTGAATGCTTCCATTGATTTACATTAAATTCATTCACGCTACACAAAGTAGATGATACTTGTGAAGAAGTGTTTTTACAGTCACGTTTGATGCGGGTCGTTTGGTTGGATTCGAAATCGAAAGGAGAGTCTGGGAATATCGAATGTAAATCAAGAATGGAAATAAAGTGAGAGGAGAAGAAGGAAAAAAACAATGAAGAAGGATTACGACTGGGGAACAATGGCATATTAAATTGGATTGGGTCACGGGGTTTGGATTTCTTTTTTTTTTAATAAATTTTATTCCTCTCATCGAATGGCTTTTCGAAATGCCGTCAGGTTCACGACCTACGGTTTCGAAATTTTTTAATATACAATGTGTCATATATCATATACATATACAATATATTATATATATGTGTGTGTTGTACTAAGTTGACCTAACGCATATCTTAGGTTAGGTTAGGCTATATATATGTTAATATTTTGTTACGTGATTTTGCGATTCACGGTCACAAGGCGACTCCAGCTATCGATACAGATACTCCGGTACCGAGTTGCCCGGCAGAGGAGAGTACCCGACGGAGATCCGTACCGTATCCGATTACGTACCGATCCGCTAAGAAACACTCTCGACTTGTTTTAACGAGACGACTCGTGAGAAATCGAAGAGTTATCGACTATAAGGATCCCGACCAATCAGAATGATTAGTTCTCGAATTCGGATATTGTCAAAGCAGTCTGTCTCGGGGCACCGACCGAGGTGTCACGAGCTGCCTCGCGTGCCCGTGCTATTTGTTGATAGTTTTTCTAGTCATGTTTCGATGCGGTATAGCAAGTTCTCGCTCGTGTAGTTCTCGCGTTGCTCTCGCTACATCCAGAAAATCCTATCGGTTTCCGCGTGTGTTCGGAAGTGCAGTGTTGTGCTATAGTGCAGTGTCCACCTGAGTGCCCCCGGGATGCAGTTCTCGGCCTTCACGGATCAGCTGCACCAGCTCTGGTGAGTACTCCCAATTTATTAATTGGTGAAGGGATTTCGATTTGATAGCTCCGATTCGTTCTGCTACGTTCTCGATCAATTGCTCCCTGTTTCCGGCACTATTTGCCTGACGCTTAACCCGACCCTCTCTAGCTCAACATAGCAGCCTGAGCGGCCGTGCATTTCCGTAATCGTCCGCTCCCGTTCGTGCATCCAGTTGCGTTTGCTGATTTTACGCGACCCCAAAGATCAGCACCTACGGTTGCGTTTCTCGATCTTACCCCAAAAATCGACAGAATCCGTTAAGTTATCACAATATCTGATATGGTCCGTCAGAGCTCTCGTTTCGGTGGAGTTGGGCCTGTTCCACCCCAACTCCCAGTTCATACAGGCTCGTCAGTTCCCGGTGAAAAAAGAATTGACTGGCGCCCGCCTGGCTCGCGGATGCATGAGCGAAGGGT